GACGTACCCGATTTTAAGTAGCACTGATTTCAGTAGCTGGAAGGATAGTTTCGTCTGTTGGAATCTGTCTCATCAGACAATTCCAGTTTTGACATTTCAACTCACCTGACTGTATGTTAAAAGTGAGCTTGGCACACCAATCTGCCAGTCATTAATAACCTTACTGTTTCTGTCTCACGCGGTTTCCCAGCCTGTGTTCTTCTTCCCTGCTGATATCTGGTCACCTTGCTGGTACAAGGCCACCCAGTTTGGTGCTAGCCCTGTGTTGAACCAGCTGAGTCCCAGCGCAGTGCTGCCTTGGCCATTCAGCAGTACAAGGTGCTTTCCTGCCGCTGTGGTCTTGGTGGCCTGGGTCAAAACCCCAGAGAGTCCCCTGCTGAAGAGCTGGCCAGCACTATCAAGTCCCGCTCTAGTGCTGATTGCAGGGTTCTTTCAAGGCAGTTTTGCAACAAACAGGCTCATGCCTTCTATTTATAGTAGCTATGGAAACGTTAGAAGCTCTTTCTAAAGCTAAGCAGACAATAAAGCACTTCAGATGTTGGTAGGATTAGAGACTTTAGAAGATGTTTAATTTTCTCCCCTACTCTTTCTTTCTCTCCGTCCCTTTAGAGAGAGAACAAGAGGGCAATGTGAATATTAACCGAGACTTGCTTTAATCTCTCTCGTGACACTTCAGACTGTCTAGGTCTGCAGAGGCTGCACTCTTAACAAGGAGAGGCATGCATATTCATGACCCGGGGCTGTGGACCAGACACGGTTCCTAGGGCTATAGTTTACAATGCTTTTCAACTCAAATTTCGTGAAAGAAACAACTATGAAAAATTGATTTGGTAATTATTATTAAGTCCAAAACCCAAGACAGCAGTGCTAAAATGTTCTCACTGGAAATAGGAACAGATTAGAGGAGGTTTGTGTGGTATTTGATTTATGGATAGACAACACAAACCCCAAAATGTTAGTGCTCACTTGGAGGGGGCAGTGGAGCAAACGTCACATCTGCCTAAGAAGAATGCATAGGAGTTCCCCCTTCATAAAGTCCTCCTTACACAGAAAGGACAGACGAATTTCACTTAAAATACCTGAGAGCGTTACATGTACGTTTAAATAAAGTGTTGAGGTTTGCTATTATTGGCATGGTTGTTATTTCTGATTTTCAAGGCACTGAAAGGGAGTTGACTCCAGAGTGCTCTTGTGGCCATATTTCCTCTCAGCCCTTCACACTTCCTTGACTTACATCTTTTTGAATTTTGGACACTAATTTTGGAAGAAGACGAAAATGCTTTTTCTGCTTTGGGCTTTGATGCATCTTCTGTTAGTTTGTCAGGTCAGTGGCTACGCCAAGAATCTGCTCCTTGTGAAATACTTGACTGTCACATTTTGTTCCTGAGGTGGTATGTCTGAAGCCAGAGGCTGCGGGGAACTGAGCAGGACCCATCACCCCAGCTGTGAGCTGTGTCCCTGTTTGAGGGAGTCACCTGGCAGCCCGTCATCCCCAAAAGGGCTTTTCTCCAGTCTCATTCCTTCAGTGCTCCTTTCGCCTTATATATAAAGTAGGCATTGTGTATGTTTGTGTTCTACAGAAATTACCTACCAAACACTTCGGGGGTGGGGGTGGGGGTGGGGAGGGTTGCTATTAAAATACCACGGTGACAGGATTTTCACAAAATGTGGCAGAAATGTTGCCCTCCAACCCCAAGACGAACCTGATGATTAAAACCCACTCTTTGATCCCATCCACATGGGCATTCTGGTGTTTTGTTGTCATAGACCTTTTATTTACCCAGTCCAGCCTCCTTGCCTGGGTTACATTTATATTGGTTTACTTTCATCTAATCTCTCAAACCCTGAAAAGCCCTGGGTCGGGAAACCACACCAAGAACAGGAGGCAGAAACGCAGCCTGTGGGTTGCTGTAGTGCTGCCATGGCCCACCCCGTGGGGAGCGGTAGATGGCATGCTTGCATCTGTGCACTTAGCAAACATTTCCTGGCACCACGCTAGGGACAGAGCCCAGAGAAGTGAGTACCATTGGTCTTGTTGCAAGAGGGTTCACGGTGCATTAGGGCATACAGAAATACAAACAGTTGTAGCTTACATAATTTCAATAAGACTGGGCTCGGTGGCTGTAGTCCCAGCTATTCGGGAGGCTGAGGCAAGAGGATTGCTTGAGCCTAGGCATTGAAGACACAATTTCAACAAATGGGTATTGAACATCCACTTTGTGCTGAGAACTAGACTCGCTGCTAGGATAGAGAAGTCAATTAGATGGGGCTCCTGCCCTCGAGCAGCGCACAGACTCAGAAGCAGGTGAATACAGTGCAGCGTGATGAGAACTGTTGAGAGAATGCTTTGGAAACACAGCAGGTGCACCTAATTTAAGCAGGTGTCAAGCGGTAGCTAAGACAGGGAAGGCTTCTGGCTTTCGGTGATGCTTGGCTGGTCTCAAAGGCTTAGTGTGCCCCATGAGAAAGGAAGCAGCAGTGAGGGGAAGCACATCCCAGGTCAGGGATTCGTGCGTGTAAAGACAGAGGCGAGACCAGCGTTGCGACACTGCCAGAGCCTGAGGGGTGAGGGTGCCTGGCAGGAGAGGTTGGTAGTGGCTGTCTGGCAGGGTCTTGTGTGCCCAGGAGTGGAGCACTTCCATAGTCCCTTTCCTCCAGAGACACCCTGTGTTTGCCGCTGGCAGTGACGGTGCTGGCACCAGACTCTTCAGTTTCTGAGCCAGCCACCCCTCTGATCTCAGGAGCTCTGAATGCATTCTTGGGAATTTCAGCTTTCCTACCAATTAAAGTGAATAAACAGGACTTTTCAGATAGAAGAAGCGTTATGCTTCTTTCATTTACCATTAGAGAGTTATACTTATGAACGAAAATTCCCCAGTCTTACACATTTCTTGCTCCTTGCGTCAGTTCTCCTCATAATCACTGCCTCTTTTTCCTACAAAAAGTGAGAAAATGAATTTGTATATTGACAGTGTCATCATGGGTGTGAAATTCATTGCAGCAAATAATTCATTGTTGAGAAATTCATGAATGTGTTGGGAGTACTTGATACCTGGGCTCATTATTTTTATTCTCTATACTGGCACAAAGTGAGGGTTCAGTGATTGTGGAAAAGAGGGGGTCATTCAAATTTGGGTTTTATGCATTTGAATATTGGAATAGGTTCTGTCTCCAGAAAAGAAATGCAGCCTTATAAAATGTGTCACGAGAGAATGACAGATACATGACAATGAGAACATTTTCCCCACCGTAGACAGGTGACTGATGATAGAGCAGCATCAGCCGGGCACTGACAGTCCTTTCTGTGCCATCTGGAAAAGGTCAGTGCTTTATACCCACCAGTGGTTTTGATGCTAAACCTCTGGAGACTGCCAGGTCATTCACTTAGCACATGTTGGCTGGTCCTTTGCTTTGTGCCAGGCTCCGTGTCGAGGCCCCAGGAACACATGACCACAGCCCCTGCCGTGCAGGAGCTGGGAGACGCAGGCTGGGGGCATAAGTGCTCTGAGTGGGGAAGCAGAGAGGATCCTGAGCCCCACGGGGAGTCGAGCGGGCTTGTCAGGATTGCCAGCTCACCGGGTGCGTATTGGAGGGACTAAGATGGAACAACCTTTTTCAAGCCCAAAAACACTTCCTGAGCATACAACTGCCCGTATTTAGTACGTTTCCATTGTCGGACGTAGTAGACAGTGATTTTTACTGTTTTCTTTTGAGTCTGTTGAACTAGGGAGAGAAACTGTTGGACTCATTTGCCTTCCCAGATACTACAAGAAAGAGCACCGGCTTTGTGAATGTCGAAGTGCTCCCTGTGCTCCCATGCCGTGTTAGGGGAGCTAGAAATGTCTCAGAACTGGTCCACAGCCTCACACAGGGGTGTCCAGGACTGAATCAGAAGGCTTGGCTCTTTAGCTGTAGGGTTTGATACCTTTTGGGGACACTGACACCCCACTTCTGGCATTGGCACTGCAAGAATGGGAAGCATCTGGTAATCCTCAGGGGACAGGACTCGTTTGTCTTGATGCCTCCATCTGCTCATGGGCGGGGAGGCCTCTTTCTTTGGAAAAAGTCTTTGTTCCACTCTTGGTTTTTTGTTGTTCCCCCTGGATCAGGGTGCCAGGCCCAGTAGGGACACATCGTTTCTTGGCAGTCTCTTATATATGTCCCTGGATCCAACCACTGAAGACTGGCCCCTGCAGTCATTTTTGTACAGTCCTTTATACAACTGCATAGAGTAGCAGTTCAATGCCTGCATGAGGCTTACCCAGCGCTTGGTGATTAAATCAGACGTCCCGGTCAGTAATGTGGCAGTGCCAGCCCAGTCTTCGTAGGTGTCTCTGGTCTCCTGCCAAGCGGAACGTGCCAGGTGAGCGCCTGGGCACAGTGAGCCCCAATGCTTTCAGGAGCCCGAGTATTCAAATCAAACACAGCAAATCCTTCAAAGGCCTTCTAGCTTCATCTTTAGAATCCTGAATGCGGGAAATTCCACGGAGACTCCTAGGAAACAATTCTTCTTTATAACTGGGCTCACATTAAACACGATGGCTTCCCTGATTCTAACCTGACATCTTTGTGACTGATTCTTTAGTGCTTCTCTTATTCTTTCCCTCTGAGTCAGTAACATAATTATTCAACAAAGGAATGTGTGTGTGCACGCACGCACGTTTGCCTGTGTGTGTTCTTGGGTTCATAAACTTCAGTCTGAGCTCCTCTAAGTCTCTGCTCCTTGTTCATTCATTCAACAAATAGTGAGTAAATCTCTGGGTGCCAGTGGCTGGACATCACACATACATGCTGGATGTATATGTGCATATGCATGCATTGCTGCTTTTGAGTGTGTTTGCACTTTAGATGCATATTCAGAGAATGCATCCTCAAGAAAAGCGTGTTCATTGATACTGGATTTTCCGTGTTTCTGTGCTCCTCTACTCCTTTTTTCTGATAATTCTTATGTGAAATTATCAAACAGGAAAGTGTTGGCAAATTCCTTCACTCTGCTGCAGTTCTGACCCAGTGGGTGATATATGCCATCCGAAACCTTACCGAAGACAACAGCCAAAACCAAGATGTGATTGCAAAGATGGAGGAACAGGGGCTGGCAGACCCATCCCTCCTTAAACAAATGGGTTTTGAAGTTGAAAAGAAGGGCGAAAAGCTGATCCTGAAATCTACTAGAGACACCCCTAAGCCAGTAAGTACCTTCAAGGGAACTGTCCTTCCCCTTTGGTTTGTAGAAAGCTGTTCCCTCTTCCCCATTGCTCAAGCAGGAGGCTCTTTGTAAGAATATGGGTGGGAGAATTGTGCCCTCTAAAGTGATTTACCAAGGAAAGTCCTAAATACAGCTGCAAACAATTTTTTGTTCTGGCTTTGTGCTGCCATTTTCTTAAAAGAGATAAAATTTCTAACTTATCCTAGGTGAGAAATATAAAAAACATATCAAAATTTGTACATGATCTAAAAGTAAGTTACTCATAGGAATTAGATTTTCTTTAGAAGACACTTAACGTTCACTGTAGTTTTAAAAACAGAAAACTCCTTGAATAATATTGTATGAATTGTTTCAGGTTTCTTTTACTTGTGATCACTGACCAAAGTTCTGGGGTTTTCCCCTTTTTCTGATGAATCTTCTGAATAGATTTGTTACATCTGTGATTTTGTTTCTTTTTTCTTCTTAGTGAATGAACTGCATCCAAATACCTGAATTTTTGGTGTCTGTTTCATGGATTTTTCTATCTTCTGCAGTATGTGAAATCGCAAGTGTTTGAAGATTTATAAGTACAAATTTGGGAACTTATGAATCTTTTAGGTAGTAGAATTTAATGTGTATAAGCTAAAAGTGAAAGTAACTAAGCGGTCTCTTGTTTCTTTGCTTTCATGTAACTGCGTGCTTTGCCTTTGTCCCCCTAGATAGAATGTGCGTTTAAGTAATATATTGTACCTTCCTGCGACAGCAGATAATAAACCAGTCTCTTGGAGGGCACTCCCTTTGAAAAAACTTGGATGTCTGCTTGGACTCTGTCTGTCCCTTCAGATGGCAAGTCAGCATCATTCTTTATATCCCACTTCTCATTGGGTTTTCTGAGCGCTGGCAGGCAGTTGAATTAGTTTCTCACTGTGATTAATTCTAGCAATCTCTTTTCACCCCTCTGCCTTTCCAAAACATTGACAAGACTCATTTCCAGTTAATTAATTCGAGAACCCTCCCTCTTCATTTTAGGTCCTGGGCTGTCTTGTCACTGAGCCCTATCCCTTTGGAATGTGGCAGGGAGCGGGGCTGGTGAGAGAACATGTGGGTATTTAACCCTTCTTGTTCCAGTTCGTCCCAGAAGTAGACATTCCCAAGAGCCATTCTGTGTAAAGGTGAATGCCTGCGTTTTCCCCAGCTTCATGCCTCTGTCATGGGGGGAAGGAACAGCTTATGTTCTGCTCTGGTCCAGTGCCACAGCGTTTTAAAGTACATTTCTATCTTCTTTGATTTGAAAAGCACCAGTCTCATAAAGGTGCCACTCAGTTGTAGCTGTGTCTTCACTGGAATTGGAAAAGTACTTTTAGAGAGCAGGAATTTATCTGACATCTAGCTGTCTGTCTGTCTAGCCATCTGCTATATGAGAGGTAGGACTGGTTAAATGAACACTGAAGTAACTTAATCCAGATCATTCATATAATCAACAAAAGCTCTAGGGGAGGTCATGTTGTGAATGCGGCAGACACGCTATCTTCTTCAACAACCATATCACTAAACCAGTATATCTAGAGATTTTGCCCAATTCATGTTGAACCTTCCAAAAGAAAAACAATAAAAACCCATCCAAAAGTTTTACAGAAATACTGATTGTTCCCAAATAAAGTGCTTCTAAGTTTTGTGGAGGCATACTTAAAACTGATTTGCAAAAATAGCTGAAGCCTGTTGAGAAAGAAAGAAAAGTTTTCCCACGTGCTATCTAATGTCCTCTGTGTAACTCTGAAGACACATCAGCTTCTAGGGTTGTAGCAATCTATGAATAACATTTGTTATCTCGTTTATGACTTCCCATCAGTAAAGAAGCCATTGCAAAATTTAAAAGTACACAAAGGAGTCATTCTCTCCTGGGACATAAAGAGTTAAAGCTCTATCCTCTAAATAGAAGCCTGGCCAAAGGGAAAAAACAGTGGGAGTCCCTTTTCCCTTTTAACAAGTTTGCAATAGACACTTCTTTTTTCCTGTCTCAATGGATGTGTGCACACCAGTGGGATCACACAAACATGGTAGTATGAGCTATATAATAACAAACACAAATAAATAAAAGGGAGCCTTGTGAGAATACAGAATGGGCAATGGTTATGTGTTTTCTAAGTAGGAAGTGTGGGGCCTGCATAGTGAAAACATGCTGATGACTGCATTGTGGCTGCCTTTGATTCCCTCGGATGGATTAATTCTTGAGCACAACAGCTTCCCTGTCCTCTACGGTGGACTCCGAGCTTCTGAGAACCTTGTTTTACATGCTATAGAGGATTAATCACCACCTCAATCAGGCAGTTAGAAGGAAGAAAAAAGCAGGCCAGCTTTACAAAATTTGTAAAGAGACAGAATGGTCACAGCAAGTTTTGTGGCCATATTATTGCTTTCAAGAGCAAGCTGACAAAGCTTTTAGCTGGCATCACTTTAAAAGATAGAGGGGAAGGCTTCGCTGCTTGACACTCAGTTCAAGTATTTGCAGAGTGATTATTTTTTAATACTTTAACAATGGACGTGGAGATTTCAAAAATACTTGTTTTTGCAACCTTAAAACAGTCAGCTCTCTGTATCCACAGGTTCTGTGTCCACAGATTGAACCATCTAGGGATCGAAAATAGGAAAAATAAAGTAACAGTACAAGTCCAAAAAAGAATACAAATTTTAAAATACAATGTAAAAATTATTTCCATAGCATTTACATTGTATTAGGTGTTACAGGTAACCTGGAGATGATTTAAAGTATGTGGGAGGGTGCAGGTAGGTGACATGCAAATACTGTGCAGTTTTATATCAGAGACTTGAGCATCCATGGCTTTTGGCATCTGAGGGAGGCTCCCAGAACCAATACCCCACAGATTTCAAGGGCTAGCTTACTGAACTGTTAGGATTTGTTCATATTAAGGCATGATTCTGTTTTTGTTTTTAGGAGCTAATATTGAGATAGGATATAGAAAAAATGAGATGATTTGGGCTACCAATTAGTAAGTCTTTAAATCAAAAATTAATGTTTTTTATATGGTCATCTTATGTCCATTCTCTTTTGAAGTCATTCATGTGCTGCCCTGAGAATAAATGGCATTTAAATGTTATTTAAATGCTTCTCTTTCTTTCCTTCTTTTTTCCTTTCTTTCCTTTTCTTTTCTTTCTTTCCTTTCCTTCCTTCCTTCCCTTCCTTTCCATTTCTTTCTTCCTTTCCTTCCTTTCTTTCCTCTCTTCCTTTCCTTTCTCTTTTTCTTTTCTTTTTTCTTTCTTTTTTTTTCTTTCTTTCTTCTTTTCCTTTCCTTTCCTTCCTTTCTTTTCTTTTTCTTTCCTTCCTTTCTTTCCTTTCCTTTTCTTTCATCTTGCCCTGTTGCCCAAGTTGGAGTGCAGTGGCGCAATCTCAGTTCACTGCAACCTCAGCCTCCCAGGTTCAGGCAATTCTCCTGCCTCAGCCTCCTGAATAGCTGGGATTACAGGTGTGCACCATCACGCCTGGCTAACTTTTGTATTTTTAGTAGAGATGGGGTTTCTCCATGTTGGTCAGGCTGGTCTCAAACTCCTGACCTGATGATCCTCCCATTTCAGCCTCCCAAAGTGCTGGGATTACAGGTATGAGCCATCGCACCGGACCTTAAATGATTTTTTTACTGTCCTTTAATTTCTATTCTTGAATTAATAAACCAAGATGTTAGAACAAAAATGCCAATCTTTGTAGGAAGAAAACTTAAAAAAAAAAAAAAATCTATCAGTGAGTTCTACACATAAGTGCTTCACATGTAAAGCAGTAGAACTGAGGCAGAATTTTTAAATGCAGAAAAGGTGAGGAAGAACCTTACCATTTAAGATCTAATATAAAACCAAGCCTTTAGGGGGGAAAAAAACAAAATCCTGCCCTCTCGGTGCTGTCCAAGGTTCTGATCATTTTAGCTATATTGGCTTGTCCACATTAAATCAATTAAAAACCTTGTTTTCAAAATTTAGATTTTTAAAAATGTATTTGCATGACACAATATCTGTTTTCCTCTTTCCTACACATTTTATATATTTATTTAGACTTCGAGGTCAAATATGTGATACTTTACAGTATGAATTTGATTTACCATTCACAGTATACATGAATTTTTGAGCTTTTACTGTAAACACCGTGTTTATGGTATTAACACATCCATCAGACTTTCCTCATCGCAACCAGAGACATTCCTGTCAGCGGAAATTAATTTTCAGAGTTTTCCCTAATTATTTATTCTTGCTTAAATTAGAAACGTTGTATTAAATACTTCATTTTGTTTAAACAACATCATATACATTATTCATTGACTTAAAATTTCTATGCTTATCTTACATGATTGAAGCAAGGGCTTATGTGATCTTTATAATATGGATTTCATTTTTCCACCACTTTGTAAAGTGTATTGGCCAAGAATATCAGCTCTGAAGCTAGAATTCCTGGGTTCCAGTCCCTGCTCTTTGTGCTGCGTAACCATGGGCAGATTCTGTAAGCTCTGGCTGTCTCATTTTCTCATTTTCAGCCCCACTGAAAATGGGGCTCATCACACCACCTGCCTCATGTGCGCGTAGGAGAGCGCAAGCGATTATGTGTAAAGTGCTCAGTCCTGGCGTTAATCCCACTGTGTGAATGAGGAAGTTGAGTCACAGAGAGATTATGCCCAAGGTCACACAGCAATAAATGCTTAGTGATTAATTGGTATAGTTAATTGGAAGAGAACAAATGAGAAAAAATAGCTTCTTTTCCCAGAATAGTGGAAAATTAATGTAGCAGAAATGCCTGGACTATGGCTTCGCATATTGTATTAGTGTGTTCTCGCATTGCTATACAGAGCTACCTGAGGCTATGTAATTTATAAAGAAAAGAGGTTTCATTGGCTCAGCTCTGAAGGCTATACAGGCTATACAGGAAGTATGGCCAGGAAGGCCTCAGGAAACTTAGAATCATGGCAGAAGGGGAAGCAGGCAGGTCTTACGTGGCTGGAGCAGGAGGAAGAGAGTGAGGGTGCGTTGGGGTGGGGGATACTACACACTTTTAAACAACCAGATCTCATGAGAACAGCAAGGGTGAAATCCACGCACATGATCCAGTCACCTCCCACCAGGGCCCCACCTTCAGCGTTGGGGATTACAGTTCGACGTGAAATTGAGACAGGGACACAAATCCAAACCATATCAGACATAGAGCAAGGAGGGTGCTATGGGAAGAACATAGCCTTGCAATTAGTAAAGCCCAAGTTCAAACCTCAACTTCACTTCCAGCTGTGTGACCGTGAGCAAGTTGCTTAACCACTCTGAGCCTAACTTTCCCCCTCAAGGACTGTACCACACACTGGGGATACAACAGTGAACAAGACAGACATGGTCCTTGCCCTCATAAAGATTATCTTCTGGCAAGGGTGACAGAAAGTTATTAATAAGTGAACAAATACACAAAACAAGAGCATTGCATATTGTAGTAAATGCCATGAAGAAAATAGGCAAGTTGATGGTGACTGGGACGCTCTTTCTGAGCAAAGGCCAGAAGGTTGAAAAGGTGCAGCAGTGCATCAGAGAGAAGTGTTCTGGAAGAGGGAGCAGCAAGTTCAGAGGCCCAAAAATTGGAAAGCTTCACCTGGTCGAGGACCAGGAGGGTGGCCGGGGAGAACATCATGAGACCAGGTCAGAAGGGTCAGCAGGAATCAGATCATGCTGACTCTTCAAGGCCATAGGAGGCCTTTGAATTTTGCGTGAAGTGCATTGTGAGCTGCTGAGCCATTTTTAGCAGAGGAGTGCAAAGTTTCAGCTTGCAGCTTT